AATCATTACCCTGTTTCACATTGACCGTTGATCTGTCGGTTGTAAAATAATTTGCATGTAAACGCGTAGTACTCAACGTTTAATAAAGCTCCAGTGAGATTAAATTATCTTTAAATGGTTTCATTTCCAAGGTGCGCTTGTATACTGGCTGATGAACCCCGCGCACTTCTGCAGTCAGGGTTGACGAGTGCGCGGGTGGGCTTGCCTATCGCCCCTGTCCACGGCGCCTCACGGGCCGAGCGAGTGGACAACCCGCCCACACTAGTGCGACAGTACATCATGTTCATGCAGAAGTTCGCGGGGTAAATCAGCTTGCGCCGCGGTTCTTCACGTCACGTCAAGATTATGACTAGAAGTGTCAGGCTGGACGCCTAGCAGGTAGGCAGCCCATCCGGCTTGTTGATGTTGAAGTAAGGGGGTGCCGCGCCACCAGCTACCTGGCACGTCCCTGTTTGTAGCTACACGATTGTAGCCGCAGCCGACTGTGCCCGAGTCAGCTGAAACTGAACCGTTTATAGACGAATTCATTCCTTCCGCAAATGTTAGAATATCAACCAGAAGTAAACAGCGCTAAGAGCTAAAGCGAAAACGAAAGATATCAATGCCTCTCCGAAGCTATCGCCTTGTCCAAGCACTCGGAGAGGCAGGGGACAAGCTGATAGCCGAGCGTGTTCAAGCGTGATCGTTGGCAGATCGTGCGAGTGGTCGCTAGTTCGAATCCCATCTGCGGTCATTTTTCCCTGCTCTGCTGGCCAAGTGCCTTCGGGCGTCGATCACAGCTTATATCAAGATGCCGCTGAAAGTAGTGCACTGTATCGTTCCGTCCTGGCTAAGTCGGTAGCGTCCGGGCCCGGTATGAACCTGGTTATTGGTTCGAATCTCGGCCGGGTGATAATTTTCGCGCTCCACTGGCCATGACTTTACAGCCGTGCGACACCTGATGTGATGGGCCGGTACGCAAACAGTCGCTGGTTCGAATCTAGTCGACGGAACCCTTTTCCTTCTGCCAGCCATATGTTTCTGTGTGAGAGCCACATCGGATATAAGCTTCACCTATGCAAAACCCTCATCATTGGCTCAGTTGGTAGAGCGCGCGCTCGAGACGCGGATGGTTGTCGGTTCGAATACCGTCCGAGGTTCATTTTTTCCTATTTAGTAGTTTGCAGCGCGGGGACCAACGGTTAAGACAAAAGACCAGCCGACATGGGAAGGTGGACTTGACCGCCTACTCATCAGCCCCAACCCCCTCCCCCTGCCAAAAAACAACAAGAAACCGTTCGCCCCGTCCAGGACTCGACCCCTGGTCTGAAGGTGTCTTGTGCACCAAGCCCTAGCGCGCTCGCCACTCGGCTGTCGGCTCCACTTGTCAGCGGAAAGTTCAAACCTCGGTCAGCTGCTTCACGAGTCTTGGTCTCCCGTATTGCACGCGTTCGGGTCTGGTCAAGTCCACCTCCTCGACGCGCTGCAGCCCGGGTCGGCTCTTTGCCCGAGACACGGAAAATGGCCACTAAAAGAGCCCCTTGGGCGCGCGAGGGTTAGGTTAGGCCCATTTATGGGCCTTGTTCCGTGTTTTTGGCCAGAATTCGACCCGGGCTGCAGCGCGTCGAGGAGGTGGATTTGAGCCGACCTGCACGCGTGCAATACGGGAGACTGAGACTGAGACTCGTAAAGCAGGACCGAGTTCTGAACCTCTCGCTGACAAGTGGAGCCGACAGCCGAGTGGCGAGCATGCTGGCACGTCGTCACCTGAGTAAGCTCGGTCTGGGGATCGAATCCTGGTCGGGGCGGAACTTTTCCCCATTTTATTGGAGACGGCTATGTGGCCGCCAGAGACACCGTACATTTGGCTCCACCCTTGAAGCGCCATCTGCCATATTGTCTTGGCAGGGGAATTGGTATAGTGCCCGGACGCGACGCAGATGATCGCACGTTCAAATCCCAACCAGGGAGCATTTTTCTTTCTGTGGTTTCATGTGTGTTCCTGGAGTCAGTGGCAGTAGTCGGTAGAGACATAGGCACAAGCGGACAATAGCAGGCCGCCGGCAGTCAGTGGCCGAGCGGGTTAAGGCGTCTGCGACTGATCGCTTCGGTGTGGGAACGACTCCCACCCGAAGCGGGCGGTCCACGATTTTTCTCGCTCCTCCGCTCTCTATTGCGAAGGGGCGAAGGCACAAACAAGACTCTCGCAGCGATTGACAGTAACGTGGCGCCGTATCTGAGTCGGCAAAGGGCCAGCTCGGAGAACCGATGGTCAGAGGTTCGAGGCCCACCAGGAATTCGTTTTCCACTTTCCGTTTGCAAC